GCAAAAACACGCGAGCAGGGGAGCTGGAGGCTACAGCACCAGGCGAAGCTTTCTGGATAATTGAAAGCAAGCAGGAGATGAAGATTGTCATCTTCCTCGCGTCTTGCCCTTAAACAGGTCAGTGTGACTAAAGATCAACCATCTCTTTATAGAGCAGCAGCAGGTGAGAGATTAACTAGAACAAATTGCAACCATTGCTTTCAGGTGTCTCTGCTTTTCTTCTAACGGTGAGTTCCTGAAAACATAGCGAGTTACTGTAGAGAAGCATTTGCCCCTTTGTGTCATCCAGAGCTCCTTTAATGTGAATCAGATGGCATTGAGATATGTGTCATCGGCCTTAAGGGCAATCAGGCGTTCTTCTAACTGTGGGATTCAGTAGATACCCCCCTCTCAATACTCTTACCCCTTACCAAACATGGCCTCCACATATGGGCCCCGGCCACTTGTTTCCGACTCTGGCTTTCTTCTGTAGAAGGGGCAAACATAAAAGTCAGCAGGAGAATTCAAAGAAGCAGCGGGATGAACATGAAGAAAACTCAACCACTGGTTCTGACCGAGGATGTTGTAGTCAAGACTACACCAACTAAGATCAAGGAGTACTGAGACAAGGCCAAGACCTCTACAGGTCTTGGCCTTGTCTCAGTACTCCTTGGTCACCGTTGGTGTGGTCTTCACTACAACTCTAGTGTTTTGTCATATATGACCTTGAGAAAAATGGAGAAAAAATACAACAACAGAAGGACCGGGTTAATAGTCCTATTAGCAGCCACCCTAAAGCACACATACCTACATAGGCTATTTTGCTGAAGGGTATCCTTGTGTGTATAGGTTTCTGTCAGACCCTAAAGTACACTGTCTTCAAGAGTAATAGAGGTTGACAACCGAGGAGGGCCAGCGTGAGGAGGGCCCTGGAGCATGTGAACAGCAACACAGAGCTCTACCTTTGGCTTTGCTGTGTGTTTTCCCGCTCAGAGTCTTTAGCTTTAAATATTGGTTAATGTGATGATGGAAGTCCATATTTCATTAGTAACATGCCCCCATAGCTCTATACCACTGCCGAATCTCTAAATAATGAGGAAAGGGAGACCTTACAAAAACATGAAGTTTTTTCTCTTTTATTTACAGAATATACACATTATTCCAACTTGAAATATTACTCATGAAAATGTATTCAGATGAGTTTTTAAGAAATTGACCTGTTATAGTTTGCAAGAAAAAGCAATGCAAGAATTAAAGAGAACCACATTTTATAACTATTGTCATTTACCGTAGCTTCATCTGTCCTGATGCTCTGTTGAGCTGTGGCATCAACCTAGAGAGAGGAACTAGCTGTGCTGCTATCGTCAACACCTTCAATTATATATGAAAGACCTGTGCCTGTTTTATAGTGTTTAGTCCAGTCTCTCTCCTATGTGCTCAGCTCTTACTGTTACTAACTGGAGTTGCTCTCTTTTTGATATGAAAAGTGGCTCGGAGCTCATTCAGCTCTTTATTTCCTAGACAAAGCCACCTGTGGAGTTAGTTACCCATTACCTTTTCTAACTTTTAGTAACAGCCATTCATAATGGCCCTTCCCAGTATAACGCCAGCTAATTGGCAGCCCACTTCCCTCCAAATCCCAGCCACTGAAGTGAACATCAATGCTTCAATATTCTCCGGTCTTCGTGAATCACAGTTGGCCTCAGCAGAAGACCGCTCACTGGTTCTGGTTCTGCTGGACGTCTCTTCTTGTTAAAAAGGAGTTTTTCCTCTCCACTGCCACTGCGTGCATGCTTAGGGTGAGGAATCGTTGTAAACAAAAAAATGCAAATATATGCCTACTGTTGCTACATGCTCATGCAGGATTAACAAAACCTGTAAAATCAATCCCTGGAGGCAATCAGCTGGTTTACTTTGAAGACTTTTAACCAATCTTTCTGTGATTTCAATGAATTTTCTTCAGAAAGTGCCTTGAGATTACATGTTTTGTAAATTGCCACTATAAACATGCACTAAACTGAACTAAACTGAAAAAAAACACTCTTTTGTTTCTAATAACATCAATCATATAAATCATCAACTATATTTAAGGTTTTGCAATGACTAAGCCAATTTAGGATGAGAGACGATCAGAAGCAGCGCTGGTTCCTTTTAAAGAAACCAGTAAATCATAAATGCCATGCTGACCACATGAGAGCTGAATTTATCCAACCGGTCACATCATAAACCAATATGCAGATCAGCAGGAGGCTTGGGGTTAGGTGCCTTGCCAAGAGGCACATCTGCATGTTGCCAAATGCTAAACGGCTACCCTTCCCTCATAGCCACAGTAGCCCAGAAGTATTCGTATTTTTCTTTGCTTCAGCTCTGATAGGAGGTTCAAACCAACGTAAGGCACCTTTTACTCTTAGAAGGGCCCTCATCACTAACTAGGCCTATAACCAAAAACCATATGTTCATGTTAAAATAGAGCAATATATGCCAAGTGTTAGCCCTTATGATGTGTATTTCATCCTTTCTGAGTTTTAAAATAATTTTTGCCAAACATCAATGGACTCCAAGGTTCAAATTGTATTCAATTAGGAATATTTGTGTCTTTTGCCTCTTGGTGTTCATTTCTTCAGTCCTTGGTTAATGCTATGACACAAATTCCAATTTAATAAAACATAATGCTGGCCTAATATGATATCTCTTTCTGCCATGTTTTGTTTGACCAACAAGACTTAAATAGGGCTGTGCTCATCACTTCATAAAACTTATTAAACAGGATTCAGTTCTCAGTAAAAAAAAAAACAAAAGTTAAAGTACAAAAATAATAAAAAATGCATCGCGCCAATTCACAACACATGTCATCTCAAGCCACTTTACAGTTCAACAGATCATAGAGTCAAACTGATTTAAAGTTTCCTATCTAAGGAAAACCAGTTGATTGCATCGACTCGAATGCAATCCCTCACACTAAGCATGCTTGCAGCGACAGTGGAGAGGAAAAACTCCCCATTAAGAGGAGGAAACCTCCAGCAGAACCAGACTCGGTGTGAGCGGCCATCTGCCGAGGCCGACTGGGGTTCAAGGAGACAGAAGCAGAGATACAAAAAGCAGCTGTAAAAGGCGGCTCCATCCAGGAAACACAGCTAGGCAGACGAGCTCCGACACAGTTTCCATGTCAGAGGTTGAAGAGAGCACATCCAGCCAGTCACATTTAGAGAAACAGGACTACACTGAAAAACAGGCCATGCTGCAACATCTATAAATAAATGTGTTGATGGCAGCAGCACAGCTGATATTTCTCTCCAGGATGGAGTCACAGCCAAACAGGAACAGACCAGATGAAGCTACTATGAGAAAAAGCAGAGAGAGCAGAACGTTAGAGATTAAACTAACAAATTCTGCAGAGTGGAAGAATAGAGATAGAATGAAGCAGAAGGATGAAATAGGGGTCCCTATGTCCTCCAGCAGTCTAAGAATATAGCAGCATAATCAAGTGCAGCAAGTGAATTTCAGGTTAAAAAAGAGGTAATAAACCGCTTGCCATTCAAGGCGGGGCTGAAAGGAACTCGGGAAAGAAGGGCAACCAATAATCTGAACCAGGCCTCCATGTGCAGGGAGCCAAGGCTGCTCCGGCCCTGACTGGCTGATCAGAGACATATTTCTGTGGTTACAGGGGATGATTAGGTGGCTGTTTAAGAAAAAGGGAAAGTTAGTAAAGAAAGGAAGCAGGATATATGAAAAAAAAAACAGACGTGTAGGAGAGAGGAGGTAAAAAAGAGGTGATCGGCTGAATATAAGCAGCTTATTTAACTGCTGGAAACATTCCTAATGATAAGTTAAGTAAAAATTATGTTGTTCCCCAGGAAGTCAGTGATTGAACTATAGATAGACTTCCTCTTTACAGCCAACCTTTATATAGAGCCACCGACTTACTTCCACTGTAATAAATCAGTTTGTTTCTTTGCTCCTGAGTGCACCTACCTGAGCAGGAGTCAGACAGAAAGCCCCTTTTAACACCAATTCCTCAATGACTGCACAACCAACAGCTGCACTTGTTTTTCATTGGCTTCCCCTCTCCCATCATCATGACAGAGTGGAAAAAATGGGCTAATGGAAGTGGCGTGAAACAGCATCGGGTTAATTTCTGTGTCTCTATAAATTCCAATCAAGTTTATGAGGGGAGCAGGAGGGAAAAGCACCTGATTTATGGAGCTGGCATGAAGAAGATATTTTCTCCTGTCGATCCACGGCATCACGTTGGGATGTTACAGTGAGAGGGCCGCTATGTGTGCGTATGCCTGTGGGATCACAGGGAGAAGGAGCGCTGAGACCGGGCTCAGCTTGGCATGCCGGTTCAGTGCACGCACACTTTGTGATCGGAGAGTTGGAGAAGAGCTCAAAGTTTGTTTAAGAAGTCCCAGTGCCATGTAGTTTCCCATGGGTTAGCTAGCTTTAGATCTGTTCAGAGAAAGAACATCATGGAGTGTCTTAAAAACCCCCCAGATGGAATCTGACCAGTTTACTGTGGGTTTTCCAAATTTGAAGGGAAGGTTGTAAACAGAAAAAGACCCCCAGCCAGCAGCAAACGTATCATCTGCATTTCTGTCCCTACTTTGACAAACATTAAAGCCAACTACTTTTATACTCAATAAGGTCTTATGTTGTATCATTAGAACAATTTTAATGCATTAGAAGGTCGATTTAAGGTCTATCTAATGCGGTTAATGTGTGGTTAAAAAGATATTTTGTGAAATACAAAGGAACATCAGAGAGAAGTTGTCAGCAGTGTTTACAACGGAGGGCGTCTTTTTATTGCCTTCCTAAAAGCTGTGCTCTCCGTGCTTCCTGGTGGGATTACTTCAAGGTTCAGCACATCATAAATACAAACAAGACTCCTCTCTGAAGAGTGCCTGTCCACCAAATGAACGTTGTTTGTGGCGGTACAGATCATAATAATGCTCTTTAATCTTGTTTTATCCTGTTTTTTTTCTCTAACTCTTATTTATTTTGTTTTTTTTTTCGTTCCACAGCGGAGGTCAACTTGGAACTCTCCCGCCCCCTGAAAGTCAACCCCACTCTGATCAAACTGGAGCAGGCCAAAGCCTACCTGCAGAAAGTTTTGCCGAACTACATGTGGGAAAGCTCCAGTAAAACAGCCTCGGCCTTTTCCTCTCCTCACTCATCTCCTAAAAAGACGCCTCACCGGGCCTTTCCTTCTCGTTTGGACCCACAACACGAATCCTCCTCCCTGGGTAAAGCCAGCAAGGCCAGGAACCTGTCCTTCCACAAAGTCTCTCTTCACACCAAACAGATTGTTGTAGTCATGGAGACGGATAACACTCCAATGAGACCCAGCGTGTCAGTATCAGTGTCGGCCATGACGGCTTGTCTGGTCATGAAGTTGGGACCTCGGATCGATGGTAAGGAAAACACTCTTTTTTCTTATCTCTTGTGCATTTTTCCAGCAAAATGTTTTTTTTTTATATTCTGTTCACAAGATTGAACCGAGTTTACTACAGCAAAATTATACAGTCAATACAATATATTTTCTTAATCTAAGAAATGTAAACATCTTACCTCCTTACAAAGATCAAGATCCAGGACCTTAAAGCATCCTTCCAATATAAAGCCATTATTTCTGCATATGTTTGTTGGTGATTGTTTTCAGTTACCTGAAAGCTGCCTCTTTTGAAACTTGCTTGAAGGTCATAGCCGCAAGTCTGGCTCCTCCCAGCCAGTAGGTGGTGCTCTCGTACCCACCAGTTTTAGTTCCGTTTGTAAGGTAATTACCAAACATTTAAAGGAGTCATAACCTGGTGTTTTACATACCAGATCCTTCTGAAATTTTCTTTAGATTCATGTTTATTATTTTTTCAGATAAAAAAATTAAATAGAGCTCACTCTGACAGCTTAATACGCACTCAAACGGATGTAGCATTAGCAACATTAGCACACTGCCGAGGTTCTCTTTGAATACTGAAAACAAAGAAAAGTCACTCAAGCAGCAATTCTTAATTCATTTCAATTCAGTTTATTTCTATGGCACCAATTCACAACACATGTCATCTCAAGGCACTTTACAGTTCACCAGATCATCCAGTCAAAATGATTCAAAGTTTTCTATCTAAGGAAAACCAGTTGATTGCTTTGACTCTTGATTCAAAGGCAATCCCTCACACTAAGTATGCTTGTAGTGACAGTGGAGAGGAAAAACTCCCTTTTAACAGGCAGAAACCTCCAGCAGAACCAGGCTTAGTGTGAGCGACCATCTGCTGAGGCAGACTGGGATTCAAGAAGACAGAAGCAGAGATAGAAAAAGAAGTAGGGATACAAAAGGCAACTGTAAACCAGCTCCACAGGCGGCCCCGTCCAGGAAACACACAGCCAGGCAGACGAGCTCGGGGCCAGCTCCCATTGCAGAGGATGAAGGCGCTTTCTGACTGCCTGTAGGCTAGTACCTGATTGCTGGAATCGACTCTATTGGTAAATTAGCGACAGTTGTGGTGATAGCATGGCGCCTAACTTAGCACCCTCCCATGAATGACATCAGTCCAGGAGGAGGACAAAGATGGCGCTTTTTTTGGCTTTTCTGGTTTGAACAAAGATCCCACATGGAACAAACTTCGACACTTCCAGCTCTGGATTTTTTGAATGGCTTTAAGCGAAGCCAACACCATCAAACACGTTTTAACACGAAGAAGTTAGATTTCTGGGTGATAAACCTTTTCCTTACCTATCCAGAAGCAAAGCATTAACCTCTGTGTGGCTTCTGAGTCCCTTTGCTTCACTGATGCTCATCCTTGATTTGCTTCTCTTTAGTTTGGATCTGAGGAATATAAAGTGGAAAAGAAGCATTTCTCTGTTATGGAGCTGCAATGATCTGGAAACACCTGAGCTCTGTCTCACATGACTTCAGCCTATTACTTCTTTTTATCCAGAATCCTTCTGTGTCAACACTGGCATCATAACCAATATGTATATATTTTGGACCCATCAAACTACATAAACTATTTGTATACCTATTTTGTTGTTAAATTTATACTTAGATTCAAACTTAGACAACTTTAATTTGTCATTTTGTATACGCAGAGTGTATTCCATTTTAATGCAGCAATTTTGCACCAATCCAGATGTTCTGTTTGGTAAAATTTGTTGCTGTAACCTTTAATCAGGTATATTAAAAGAGTTCAAACTTACTTCTAGCCATTTTAGTTTTTAAAATATTCTTTCATGTGTTAGTCTGCTGTGGAATAGCTGACATCCTGTCCTTGACTCACACTGAAAAAGGATCAGAAAACAATCAACAGTAATTCACTCAACATTTTGTGGAATATTCCTGTATTTTAACATGCTCCCCCAACCAAATTACCCAGCCAAGAACTGTAATGTGAGATATTTGTGTTAGTGTTGTGGGATGCATGTATTTGATTGCGTTGATGTGGGTGAGTTGGGGTCTCAGAAAACAGGCTTTTCGTGCATTAATGTCCAAGTTTATTAGAGGAAGATGTTTGTTTTGTGTTGGGATAAAAAAAACCTGCCTTCATCAGCAATGACTGCTATCCAGAAGGCATCACAGTGTTTCCATTATAACAACCAGAACTTCTAAAGCTGATGTAGATGAAAGTTCCTCCCTTGTGCCCCCTGGGTGTGAGGCAGCTTGCTGTAGCAAATCACCACAGATCTCTCATTTCTTGGCAAGCAGTTCAGATTGAACAGTACATGGAAATCAGAGGATAAAAGGCAGTAGTGAACTGACATGCTACATGTAGTAGATAACAAGAAACAGTCTGAGTCATGATTTTGTAAGAAGAGGTTTTATACCTCGGTGCCGCTGAGCAAAACATCTTTTGCTGGAGGTTGAAGGACAGAGTTGGAGCGGGGCTTTTTAAGAGGCTGCATCTGTTTTACAGATGTTGTTAATATAGGGTTACTCCAGATAAAATGATTGTCAAAAATGTTAATTAAAACCTCAAACAATTTGCAGTTTGTTTACTCAAATCTGCATAACTGCACAGTGACACAATCGTCAGAGCGGCTGCCCTGCTCTGATTTTCACCAGCTTTCAGCTGTCATCTGTTTCTGAAATGTTGACTGTGAAAAACGCGGTTGACTTTCAATTGTTTGAAATCAGTGCAGTGAGAAACTTTATAGACACAATTCTGCCAACAAATATTCAAAACCGATCTAAAAATATAAGCTGTTTTAAAAGCTTTGCTCTCACTTGCACACAATCATACTTGTGTTTATAATGACGAAAGTAAATGAAGATAGATTAACTATCTTTATATGGATATTGTTAGCAACACTAAAATGTTAAAGGAGTCAATTCTGCCCCCAATCATGTTTATTACGGTCAGACTGGCTCGAGTTTGAAATCCTGTTTGTTGATGCAGCTTGATAATCAGAACAAGCAAGTTGATTCTTTACTTTTTAGATTCTCTTTAGCAGTCCTTTCTAAGTGTGCAATCTTCCAAACTTTCACAGCACTCTGCAGGTTACTTCATAAAACATATAACTTGAGCCAGAACCCAGAACCAACTCCTTAAAGGAATAGTACACCCAAAACATGATTAGCCTTCATTTTCTACTCACCCCCATGCTGAACAACACTCTGGAGTACTTTTTTGATATCTCAAATGCATCTGGAGATCTGGGAGGCTTCTTGCTGTCTGCTGACATTCAAATAATGGAGGTCTATGGTGTCCGAGACAGAAAGGTCCATAAAAGTCCACAAAAAACGTGTCAATATTCCTCCATACTGCTCGTCCAATGAATTCCAAGTGTCCTGAGTGGGTAGCGTCCATAATTTACTCGAAACGAAGTCATTTAGAATGTTTTTAGAGCATAAACAGTAGTGTATAGGATTTCCTGAAAGAGCGCGCCGGCGCGTTCATGACTCTACGGAAACCGCGGCAGACCAAACCGGATGAAATTGACTCATTCAAAAAATCACTTAGTAAAAATTACCCTGCTAATAAATTAGTGTGCAATCAAAAACAGAAAAATGATTTGAGATTAAATTGTCTATTCTTGGATATAAATACATTTTGTAACTTACTTTCTAACTATTTTAATTTATCTTTGTGCTTTAATGCTCCTTACTATTTACTAAAAACAACTGATTTTTAGTTTTCTGTTTTTAATGCTGTATTTTTATTATTATTATTTAAAGCAACATTGCATAACTTTTGACCCAAGTTTTTATCTTAAGTTTGAGATATAATAAATTAAATATTAGGTCAAAATTCAGCACCTGGTTCATATAGATGCTCCATGCAGGCTGCTCTTCTCAAATAGTTGCCTATAAAACTCGAGAGGGTCGGAGGCGTCACCAGCTCAATCATGTGACCCATTGCATCGCTTTACAGCAGTCTGAGCTCCTCTTAAACACCTCAGCCAATGTAGCTAAAAGCCAGTGCTAGACAGCAAAACCTATATGACCCGTACCTGTCCTGATTTTGTTTCTCTGATGAAGGATAAAGGGCTTAATGTGGCTTTGAATTTACCAGTAACTCTTTCTCAATCTGCTGGTCCATAGTAGTAGAGTTAGCAGTAGATAGTGGTGTTAGTCTGAATACTTTACTGTATGGTTTTAGCTGTCAAACTAAGACATAACCTAATTTTGGTGACTTTTGGGCTTTTAAAATAAAAACATTACAAATCTAACTAAAGCTAAGGAACATCCAGGTTGAAGTACCACCTTGGCTCATTCAACTTTTAAAAACGATAATGGTGCTATTCTGCATTAGCACCTAGTGTTAAAACAAGAAATAAATTATTAAGTAAAAAGTTTAAAATTAAATTTTTACTTCGTTTCACGCACGGCACAGAAGGTTCCCTTGCTTAAACCAGCATATGTCAAGGCCCGTCTTCAGTTTGCCAATGACCATCTGGATGATCCAGAGGAGTCATGGGAGAAAGTCATGTGGTCAGATGAGACCAAAATAGAACTTTTTGTTCATAATTCCGCTAACCGTGTTTGGAGGAAGAAGAATGATGAGTTCTATCCCAAAAACACCATCCCTACAGTGAAGCATGGGGGTGGTAGAATCATGCTTTGGGGGACTTTTTCTGCACATGAGACAAGGAGACTGCTCTATATCAGGGAGAGGATGACCGAGGCCGTGTGTTGCCAGATTTTGGGGAACAACCTCCTTCTCTCAGTTAGAGCATTGAAGATGGGAGGAGGCTCGGTCTTCCAACATGACAAAGACCCGAAGCACAAAACCAGGATCCCTAAAGAGTGGCTCTGGAAGAAGCTTATCAAGGTTCAGGTATGGCCTAGTCAGTCTCCAGATCTAAACCCAATAGAGAATCTTTGAAGGCAGCTCAAACTGTGTGTTTCTCAGCGACAGTCCAAAAACCTGACTGATCTAGACTAAATCCACGTAGAGGAGTTGGCCAAAATCCCTCCTGCAGT